GTGGGAGGTGCCGGGCGGGCTGGTGCGACGGCGCGCGCCGCCGCGGGCGTGCGCGGCGGCGACGGTCTCCTGGCGTGACGGCCACGCAGGCCCCATGCGTTGCTTGCGCCTGGCGCGCCCTTCGCCAGCGGCGGTCCAGCGATCGCCCCGCCTACAAGCGTGGCCCCCTGGGTGGCATCGACCATTGCCGGGCTTGCTTGGCATTAGGCACAATTCACGAACATGTGGTGTTTATCCGCAGATGCATAAGACAAGGCATCTCGGAGCCTTGGCGGCCTGTGAACCCTGGGCACCCTCCCCTCAGCTGCTACCACGCCCGCCCGTGCCGCCCCGCCCCGCCGCGCCGGGCAGGCGCCGCGGCCGCACGGGTTCATCCCATTTTGGAACGCGGCACGCGACGTGCCGCCAGGAGCAGGGTGAGGCCTCAAAGTGAGCGCAACATCAGTACGCAGTGCGTGCTGCAACGGGGGGCGTGTTGCAACGCGAGCCGCCATCGGTCCAAAAAAACCCTTGGCGCAGCTTGACCCAACGCCTGATGCGCTTCAGACACTAGTTGACTTCGCCATGTGGCGTCACTGCCTCTGCCTCACCGACAGGGAGGAAACGAAAATGCACAATCGGATCAAAAGGTTTGCTTGCAGTGCTGCACGCCCCCACGCCCCAAGCCCATCAAGGCTGCAAAAGGCGCCGGCAGGCCCCGCGGTCGCCACGCGGCCCCGGGCACCCACCAAACTTGGCGGGTATTCCAAACTTTATCGCGTCCCGCACGAAAAAATAGAGCAGCAGGGCCTTTTGAACGTCGTCGCCCGCGCCCTCAGTTGCGGTCGCCGCCGCCGCCACGACCTTGGGGTGGCCGCAATCGATGAGCCGCGTCGGCTGGAGCCACTCGTCCATGATGACGAGGGATCTGGTGCGATCTGGGAATAGATGGTCGCCGCTCGCGGCGGTTGGGTGCGGGCCCTGCTGCTGTGGGCGCCCCGCTGCTGCGCCGACACGTGCGCGCCGATGCTGGCTCGCGGAGAAGTTCAGTGGCCGTAACGCTTACAAGATACTAGGGTCGATACATTATCGCGGCTGAACAAGCGGCATCAATGCGGAAGACCGCTGTGGGGTGCGACTAATGCAACTTTGTGCGTTCCCTCCCAGCAGCGCGATATGACAAACTTCTATTGGATCGGACATACAAACATTGATGCAATGCTGCAGCTCGCACTCCTACGCCAGAGTCAGGCGCTGCAGTTACAGAACACCCCACATTGCTGCACGAGGCAGCTGCCCGCTGCCGTGTGGCGCCGAAGGTGCGGTACAGCAACCCTTTGGGCAGAACCTCCAGCTAACAACGCGGATCCAGGCACCAGCCCCACTCGATGATTGGGCGGGTGCGTCCTGTTCGCACATGCGAGGTCCTTGCCAGAACTAGGCGCGCACAAGATCGTGGTGTTGCGTCGCCCGTCAGCCATGCAGCTCACTCGCTTTCGCAACTGCGTTGCTGCAAGCGCGTGAGCAACTCAGCAACCCGCAGCTGATGCGCGTTCAAATGGTCAAGAAGTAGGACTTGCGCGGTCAACAGCACGTGCGTCGGTCGCTGCATCAGAGCTGGCCGATAAAACCAAGTTGAGTTGCTCCACACATGCGGTGACTGGCACAATCTGATATCACAGAGGAAGAAAGGGTGGGACTGTCACTTGTACACGGCTTTTTCCACAACCTGAGTCGCCCACAAGCTGCATCTGTCCGTCACAGCGATACCGCCTTTGTCGTGCGCGTACCGCAGCCGCCAGGTCAGCGCACGGGGAGTTGCGCGTTCGAACGCGTACAGCACTGCCTCCTACGCACTCAACAGCATGCTGGCTAATCTGCCTCCGAATTCTGCACGGAGCAGCTGCGCACTGCCCCTTCATGTTTACACACGAGCGCTTGCCTGCATCGGCCCCACATGCGCGTGCCCCTTGACAACCAGCCCCAGCTTCTACTGCGCCACAATCTGCCCTATCTACATCAACCACACGAATACCGCAACAACAAATGGGCAGCAGCGGGAACTTGGCCATTCAAACGCCAAAAGCCACAGTTCAGCTGGCTCACTGCACTGTGCAATGTTGACTGTATGATGAAATGCTGGGGCGACCAAGGCTTTCCAAACGGTTTCAGACGCCTGTGGCAGCGGTCGGTCGGCCATGAGGAACGTGCTGACGATGGCAACAATGTCGCCGCAGCACGTGGCACGTGGCGCCGGTGCTACTCTGGCTGGCCGCTGATCCACTCGACGACCTGCGGGTGCCTCTGCGCCGCCGCCAGGCACTGCGCGCGGTCCCAGGGGCAGCCCGCGCCCCGCGCCCAGCGCAGGATCTCTAGATGCCCCGCCTCCGCCGCCAGGAAGCAGGCCCATCTGTCCCACGCGAACCCGGCGCCGCGCGCCCACTTCAATACTTCCAGGTGCCCGCCCCACGCCGCGGCCTGGAAGATGGGGGCGTTGAGCCGCGCGCGGCCGGCGCCGTGCAGCCACCGCAGCACGTCCAAGTGGCCCCGCCGCGCCGCCATGTGGCACGTGGCCGCGCCCCAGGGGCAGCCGGCGCCGTGCAGCCACCGCAGCACTTCCAGATGCCCCCCGTGCGCTGCCGCCCAGCCGGTCTCCTCGTCCCAGGGGCACCCCTCGGCCCTCAGAAACCGAAGCGCCTCGAGGCAGCCGCCGCCCGCCGCGGCCGCGCACAGGTACGCGTCACGCGGGCAGCCCGCCGCGAGCGCCCAGCGCAGCTGCTCGCAGTCGCCGTGGTACGCGGCGCGGCTGGCGGCCGCGAGGCGCTGCGGCGCGGTCAGGCGCGGCCAGCAGCGGCGGGCGAACCACAGCGGGAGGCCAAACGCGGCCAGGCGCTCGAGCCGCTCGCCAAAGATCGCCTTGAAGGGCTCGCCGCCCCGCCGCCGCAGCGCCGCGCCGGCGGCGCGCGCAGCCGCCCACTGCCGCCATCCGCGGCTCAGCGCGCCGGCGGTCACGAGCTGCGCGCCGTCCGGCAGGCGCTCGAGGATGAGGGCCAATACTTCCGGGTGACTGACGGCTTCGGGGGCGGCTGCGACGTGGACAGCCCTCTGCTCATCGGGCATTGTCAGCGGCAGCTCCGGCCGGCAGCTGCGTGCTTGCTGCCTCCGGCTGCTGTGCGCTGGCGTTGCTGCCTGCGGAATTCCTGCTTGCGGCATGACGCGCGGCTGCCGTTAGGTGGCCGTGTCCCTTGCTGCTGCTGTGGCCGCTGCCGCTGCCGTGGCTGAAGCCTCTGCTGCTGCTGCGGCTGCTGCTGCTGATGCTGCGCCGGCCCTATCGTGCCGAGGCCGCCGGTGCTGCTGTTGCCGTGGTGCGACTGGTACTGCTGCTCCAGTCCAACCTCCCCCCAGGTGCCTGCTATTGCCGTACGAGCCTGCCCTCACGTTTTCGCCGAGCGAGGCCCTCTGGGCTGCGGTGCAGCAGCGATGCGACCCTGGTTTTGGTTGGCCGCCACCCAGGTGACCCAACTGCACTTCGCGCTGCCAGCGGCAGGAGTTGCAGCTCCACACGTTGCTTTGGTAGGACTTGTGAGCTTGTTCAAAGGACTTATACTTAGGAGCCAGCTGAGTAGGAGGGCAACATCGCAGCACCAACGGGGGGCAATTCAGGGCAAAGAGGCGCGAGCGAATGCCAGATCCGCTGACCCTGCGGCGCAACGAGTGAACAATTGCCGCTGCCGGTTCGTGCCCGCTATGCCGTAGCATCTCCCTGTGTCTGCATTTCCTGCAATGGGCTGCGCCGGGTGCGTGCCCCGCGTGCCGTGCGCGGTGTGACAAGGCGGACTGGGTCACAGCTACCAGAGCGCGCGCCCAGTGGACACGCATGGCGCACCTTGCCGCTCCGCGCACATGTCGGAGTATAATGTGATCGGAACCAAGAACACCGATAAATCAGTGCGACGTTAGGATGGAATTTCGTCGGTGTTCACAGTGGCAATTTCGCATGTACGGGCGAGCGACTATTGAGCTATATGATTTGGAGACAAGCGACAGCTTTGAGATTGTGGCAAGAAGCACAGAAGTTCCTCGTGCCTGATCTGACAGCTGCATGCGTTGACCGGCTGCTGGCAGTGCAGGGGACGGGGCTTGTCTAGCTGCCTGTTTACTCACCTACGGCCTGCAATCACTCCTAAAGATGGCACGCAATGCCGATGATGATGACTGAAGTTGTCCCTATCAGGCCCACAGCGACAACCCCAGCCAACCGCGGGTATCAATTCGGTCAATGTGCGCCTGCGACCCCTGCACCGCAGCCGCTCCGGCTGACCAACTGCTGTCAGCACGCACGCCCTCTTGCCTGTGTATCCCCCCGCACCTCCCAAGTCACCCCCATTTGCAATCGCTGAGCTTTGGCAGACGTATCACGACCCGTGTCGCGTACACGCCAGCTCTCGCACAACTGCACAATCCTGCCACACATTGGAAGACCTCTCTTACACCAGGGACTGTGACTAGGATTCTGCACACAAAAAGAGAGAGAGCTGACATGAAGAGCGACGTGAAAACGACAAGATACACGAGAAAAAGGCACGTTCTACCAATTGCAGCACGAGCAAACACACAATGTGCACGCTGTGTTGGTCGCCGGGTCAAAAAACGACTGGCCCGGGGAGCCATCCCACCCGGCGTGACGCGGTGTGGCCGCGCCTGGTGTGCCGGCGGGCGTCACTGGGCGACGACAGGTTGGTCCTTGAGGGAGGTCCACAACAGGAGGTAATTAATTAGTAGTAGTAGGCGGTGATGACCCAGTTGGCAAAGGCGGAGCCGGCGCACTTGAGCGACACCTGGGTGGCGGCAGAGTGAGGGAGGGGGGCATTCAGTGTGTGCATGGGGTGTGTTACATGGAGGCCGCCGATGGGCGACTGAGCAGAGGCTTTGTTGGGAAGCGCAAACTCAATTCTTACAGCAGAGCGCGAGCCAGCTGAAACTTAGCGGGGCAAATCGGTTCCATCAAAACACGTGAGCGCGGCAACGGTGCGAACAGGAGAGCCCGTCCCCACGTTCGCGCGTTCGCGCGTTCGCATGCAATGGATTGGCCGCGCCAGCACCCCCAGCCCGCCACCACACAGACCCCCTGGCTCTCATGCTGCGCCGCCGCCCCACCTGCACGCCGGGCTGAGTCAGCAGCTCGGGAAGCTTCACGGAAGCAAACTGGGCCAGGTACTCGGGGGCGGAAAACAGCAGGACGCCAGCAAAGGTGGCGCCCAGGCCCAGCAGCGCAGCGCGAACAAAGTTCTTGCCGGCTGCGATGGGTTAAGAAAAAAACATCCAGTTGGGCAAAGGGGAGAGGCTTCGGCATGCGTGTGCAAGGCGGGGAGGGTCCGGCTGGCGGGCGGACCGCGCCGCCTCGCCCCCTCAAGATAGCTGAAAGCCTGGACACGCGACGCAAGCGTGCGGCGCGCCCTGACGCCCGAACCACGCATAGCCAAGACTGCCGGCGGCCAGGCTGACCTGGACACGTGGGGTACTGTTGACATCAGCAGACCTGCGCGAGCGACCCTCTGGCCCCTCCCTCCCCTCTCCCCCCTCCTAAAAAGATGGCATCTGCTCCCGGAGCCCTGCGGGGGCCGGTTTTGGCGCGCGCGCGCGTCACCACCCACCGCGGCCGGCCTCCTCCTCCGAAGCCATCGACGGGTCCCGGGGCGGCGGGCTGATGGCGTTCTGCTTGATCACGTTGCCCGCGATGCCGATGAGCATGGCTGCGCGCGCGCGTGTGTGTGTGTGGGGGGGGTGCGTGTGTGTATGTGTGTATGTGTGTGTATTTTTGTACATGTTTGTGTGTGTGTGCAAGGGGAGTAAGTGAGTGCGGCACGAGGAAGGGCTGTAAAATTGTGGGGTGGGGATGTGAAGTGCCCTTGCACTCATCCTGGTTGGCAAAAGGCCTGTCCTGCCAGCCTCGATTCAAGCC